GGGGGGGGGGGGTGTGGGAGGCTGGTGTGCTCTTGTAATCTGATACTCTCAATGATGAGGGCTGGGTTTGTTTTCCATCATGCATGCAGGGTGATTTGAAATCAAGACAACTGTGAGGAAAAATTTGATCAGGCTTTTCAAGACAAGCTGTTTCGACCCGTTGATGTGGATGTTCAAGAAAAATGTGCTGCCGGTACAAAGAAAATATAGCAGTTCAGTCGCGGAAATGGCATATTGTTCAAGCTGTCTGTGAATTCAAGTGTTGCATCATGTTCAAATTATCTGTGCTCAACTGTGCTGTTTTGAAACAATTCTTTCTTTCATTTCAGTGGTGGTCACTTCCGTTGTCCTGGTCTGCTGCCCAATCGAAGTCTTGCTGGATGTGTATGGCTGCATCATTGGTCTCGGATGCCTCATTTTGTCTCACAAATGCAACAGAAAACTTTTACTGGGAATGGAGGACTTAGCAGAAGATGATGTCGTTTTGGATTCCCCCAAGTCTTTTCTATTGAGCTTGCCCATTCATCATATGCCATATATTTCTATTTTCGTAAATTTGTTGATTCAGGCTCTAATAGTCATAGCATTTGATCGCGTGTGTGTTGCTAGTGCTTTGAAATGGAACAGGAGATTGAGCAAATTCTCCAGGTATCCGGTGGACATTATTCTGTTTTTGTCCTTTACGTCTCCAATACTGGGACGTTCTTTGCTGATTGGAGATTTCGTGATTTGGAGGATCTTCCTCGGCCTTGCGCTGTTCCTTCCTAGTTTTATTTTAACTGCCCACTCAATATTTGTAATGGTAACAGTGATGAAGATAGTCCTGCCTGCTGTTAGGTACATAAAGATTCACATTCGAGAAATAGGATTTGATGGGGTTATTCTGCGTGTCATGGAGAAAGCAAACTTATCCTGGTTGTTGCGGGTATTTTTCTTCTCTCGGTTGAGCTATCAGCTTTTGACATCAAAAACAATATCAGAGTCTTCTAGCATATGGAGAATGGACTCCAGTGAATTTTGGTACTTTCTAAAGTTATTAGTTTCTGAAGTTCTCTTTGACCTATGTGGGACTATTCTGTCTATCATGAGCATGGCCAGCATGATAAGTATTGTGAGCGGGTTTTGTCTGAGCATCGTCTATCGCATAATTGGAGCCCATGATGAAGAAGAAAGCATGCAGCCGGCTGTGTCGGGATTTCTGTTTGTTTTGCTGGCAATGCAGACTGGCATCACAAGCATTTCTTCTGAGACCAGACTTCAGCTCCTGCTTCAAAACTGTATTCTTCTCCTGGTCGCAAATCAACATTTTGTGCAGGGTGTTACGGCAGACTTGATTTTGAAAGCAAGCACTGATGACGTGTCCTTCAAAAAGCATGTACGCCCGATGCTGCCTTACCTCGTGTTTTTCTCGTTCCCTTTCATCGTTGTTACCCGGTTGTGGCAGTACCCATTCCGACTGTCGTGGCTGCTAGCTATATCAGCATTTACCATCGAGCTTGTGGTCAAGTCTCTGACCACGCAAGTGATTTACTGCATCAACATGGTTCATTCTCACACCAACTACTTTCACGACAACATTGACGATCTGCTCTTCTATGTCAAAGCCGGCAGTGGATGTTTGGACTTTGTCTGTGGCATATTTCTCTTTGTCAACGGTGCCTACATTTTCTTCTTTGAGTCCGGTGGCCTGATCCGACTGACGATGATGATCATTCACTTCTACTGGAACATATACCAGACGGCCCTCCGCGGACTCAAGACCTTCCAGCTGCGCATGTCTGCGTGGGACAAAGTGAACAAGCTTCAGCTGGCCAGCCAGGAGCAGCTGGATGAGAACGCGGACATCTGCTCCATATGTTACCAAGAAATGACGGAGGCTGTGGTCATCAAGTGCTCGCACGTGTTTCACAGAGCTTGTCTCAAGAAGTGGCTCACCATCCAAGAGCGCTGTCCGCTGTGCCACACGGACCTGGGAGAGGGGCCGTCCGCCAGTGCCAACAACAATGATAATGAAGTGGAAGACAGATGATGATGGCATGACCAGTGGTAATTATTTAGTTGATATTCTTGATTTCTGGTTGAAACAGAATTCTACTGCTTTTTTAAACAAATTTGAATGTGATGTTATTGTTTTTGTAAATAGGTTTGTCATGGTTAGACCCTCTATGGACAATATTTGAAGTAACCATTTTTTATCTGGGCATTCTCTTTTCCGTTGTGCTGGCTGATGTTTGTGGCTGGGACAGTGGTAGTAGTTCTCTTGTTGTACGGACTTTGTCAGGCAAGTGAGCGCTTACGTGAAGGAAACACATCAGCCACAGAGGCGCTGCCGTAACTCTTTCACTACCAGGGGGTTTTCTTCACAGTGACCGGGCCCTCTCTGTGACCTACTTTCTGATTCGGCGTACCGTCAGACAAATTAAAGATTTTCAAGTTCAATTTTCCACATGAGCCACTTGTATTATATACGGAAAATAAAGGGGAAGTAATGACCTGTCTCAGCATGCTGCTCAGAACGATCATTCTTCTGCCGGAGATTTCAGATTTGATTATGACAAAAGTAGGTGTGGTTTTGAAGCCGGAAGTGGAGAGCCATGAAACACAGCTGGCGGGAGTGAAAGAGTTTAAGCAGACCTGCCAAGTACTTCCATAAACTCTGAGCTCTGCGATTTGGTTTTTTTTACATGTTGAAGAACCCAGATTAGATTGTTGTTCTTTATAAAACCCAATTTTTTCCTTGAATTCTGTTTCCATCAGCCTTTTGTGCAACTTATCTTATGTAACTTGAAAATACACAATTTAATTCCTCTGGTTGGCAAAATTTGTGCGACGTATTCGTGAATGACATGAAAACACACATTTTTATTTGCGTGCATTTGCTGTACACGTTTTTTTGCCATTCTCAGTTTTTTAATGAAATGTTCATCTACTAAGATTCTGCGGGCTCTGATTTCGTTTCCCAAACTACAGTTTTTTGGGGAGGATTTTGAGGAAAACTTATTTTTATTATTGGTCGTGGAGAGATTAGATTGACAGGTCTGCTTAAGTAGGCCTCCATTGTGTTCCTGAGAGGGCCCCATTGGCTCAAAAGCTGTTGGGGGTGGATGGTGGGGGATTGGAGGGGGGGAGTTGACAATTCCCTCACAATGGGGAGCCTGTTTTGAGTGATGTACTCATAAATTTTGTGCAGTTTTCTCTTCCCGTGAGTCAGTAGAGTGTAGGAGAATCACAGAGGCCAGTGCCGTAATTGTGTGAGGCAGCCTGGTGAAACCAGGCGCTTGTCAAAATAACAAAATCGCAGAAACGCATTTTTCCGCCAGTTTGGAGATTTTTATCGAATTTTTGTTTTTTGTCTCTTTAGGTCCACATATATATATAAAAACACATTTCAGTGTGAATTTTCCTGAAAGACAATGGTTAAAGGCACAAAATGTGTCATTTTCCAGTTTTCAGTGACTTTAGCTTTTGGAGTTACCAAACTTTGGCGGCCATTTTCTCGTTAATTTCACCACTGAAACCAGGCGACCTCACTTCCTTCAATCGCAAATATCTTGAATTCTAATACAGATAATTAATGGATATTTATTTCATTGAAAGCAAGACAAATAAATCAGCTTTCAGATGATACCAATAACTCCACTTGCCCAAAAATTGACGAGCACCTGATTCCACCGCGTCGTGACACATAATATATATTATTATATATTATAACCTGTCTCGACCTCAAAGCTCAAGCCCTGGCACATGTTGCTGCTGATGCGGCAAACCGCCAGTGAAAATGGAGGTGACCCACCACTGTGGGTGTGTAACACTAACACATAAATGGTGATCTACTCGTTGCTGTCGCTGAACCTTTCTGTACATACACCAAGAGAGAAAGTGATTTGGAATTACTCTTTTTTTTAAATATGTGAAGCATTGTGGTGAAATCAGGCGCTCGTCACAATAAATGAAAGCAAAGAGATCAGCATTTTTTTTACAGATGGGCAATTTTTTTCTAAATTCTTTTGGGGGGGGGGGCTCTACAGCTTTTATGTACATTTCAAAACAATTTTTTGTGTGATTTTACTGGAAAACATTGATGAAAGGCCCAAAAAATGTAGATTTTCAGTTTCCAAGGACTCTGAGGCTATGGAAGTTACCAAACTTTGGTGGCCATTTGCTCGCTATTTTTACTTCTGAAACCAGGTAACCCTGACCTCCTTCAATCTCAAATATTTCGACTTCTATTCAACATAGATGGATATTTTTTCACCAAAAGGAAGGCAAATGAACAGACTTTCAGATGATAGCAATAACCCCATTTGCCCAAAAACTGAGGAGCGCCTGATTGCACCACGTCGTGACCTATATTATGACGAAGACATTCGGCAAGTGTGTGTGATATTCCTAGAAGAGGACTGGAGTTACTGCTAACTCCTGATGAAGCATGATGATTTGACATTTCTTTATTGTTGTCTTTCCTCATTTATTTATGAATTAACCAGAAACCCTGTGCTGATTACATTTTGAATGTCAATTGGCTATGAGGTGTAGAAAGAGTGAGTGGCGTGGGAGAAGCTGGAAAAAATTAAAATATAAATCGTTGGCAAGTTGTTCAGCTCTTCTGAGCGCAGAAAGCAACACTTTTCTTTAGAGAGAGAAAACTGTTAAGAGTCTTCCTGAACTATCATGCGTCTTTTCCTGCTTCATTCTTTCAACATTTTTAGAATGAAGAATATTGCTTGAACCCCCCGGGGCAGTGCCACTGACTGTAGAGTCTTTAGGCCATTCCCAAAGGGGGGAATATTTCTCGTTCAAGCATAGTAGAATTGTAAATGGGCTGATTCATCATATCACGCTCACAACTGTGCCTAGTCTGCAACAGGAAACTGCTGCTTTTTCTTTCCTAATCCTTACTATATTGTCATTTTTCCTCTACTTCTTTTGTATGTTTGTCACT